AGCCATATCGGCATCGTGGGAACCGTCGACACCCGCAACCTCAACTCGAGAATCAGTTTCCCAAACTAATTCATCCTGTGAGGCTCCTGCAGCCTTTTCTGCTTCAGCTTGCTTCCGCCTTTCCCGCGCTGCAACCCTGGAGAAGGTAAGAACAGCAATAAAAGCGTCAGGAATCACGTCGGCTCGCCAAAAAACAGATACGATCAAGAATAGATCAATACCTCGTAACTTCGTTCGCAGGACCGTCGTCCTCTGAAGCCAGTGCGGCTTCCTCAGAATCCACCCGGATAGGACCAGATGGAGGAGTTGCCATCTTCCGCTTGGAGGAGGTATTCGCGGGGATATCGACCTCCACTACCGGGATTGTTCTTCTTCTCTTAAGATCCGTCCCCTTGGGTCTTGGTTGCGATGCTTTCTTGGCAGCTGAAATAACAGAATACACAACAAAATAACATCACGCTCAGAAGAGCAAGCACGGCATTGCTTCGATTCGGCAACACACCTGTTTTCGAAGCCTTGGTCTTTTCTCTGTCGGCTTCGCAACCGTTGCTTTCTTCTCTGCAGGATTCTTCTTTTCCTTCGCAGGCCATAATCTTTGGCTCAGTTCGCAAAGCTTCTTGATGTCAACATCCAGACCAAAAGGATCCTCCCCAAGACGGATAGACACTGCGAACGGAAGCAAGACAAATAAACCAGGCATCTCGTCATAAGCAGGATATCCGCATATAAACATGACTAATGCGATTACCTGGATTCGATTTCCAAGCTCTAAATAGATCGAGCTCGGAGCTGCCGATAGAAGCCTCGTTGACCTTCACGAAAAAGAAGAAACGGTCCCACTCGTGGACCTTGCTAGGCGGATTTCCACCAGCGATTCCGTGCTTCAACGTAGTATAAAAGTGATGCCATCCTCCTGCACGGTTTAGCCTACCGCTTTTCAAAATAGAGATTCTTTCAAAGATATCCCAATTAAAAGGAACGCTCACCATTCGAGTGACCGCCGCCAAGCAATTAAAGTGGCGGATCACGGCATGAGAAAGTTGCGCCACTGGCATCCTCCTCCTTTCGCAGTACCAGAGAAGCGACAAAATGGGAAAGCAAAATCCGAAGTCTGCGAAATGATATTCATAGATGCAAAAATATCCCTTCGGCGGCATCGTCACTCTCTCATGAACTTGAGGGAGTAAAACCTCGACTTTTTCAGGAAAGCAGCACCTTAGTCGAAGCCCTCGAAGCTATGCTTTGGTCATCCAGGTCCTCCCGTCTTTAATTCCCGTTTCATGTTTCGGCATGACGATTTTTTGGGGGAGACCTTCAATATGGCTAGTTTGCTCGGAATCCCCTGACTCAATTTCAGAGTCTATGTCGGGGTTATCTGAAGAAATCATGTCCCGATAATTCGAAGACCCCTCAGAATTCAAGGGAGAAGAAGGAACCGGACTGATCCACGCCTGCCTAACACGCTCGGCGAGAGAGATATTATCATCATCAAAAGCTGCCCCTTTACCTTTGGAGCCATTCGATCTTGTCGACATTCCATTTGCAAGAAGAAGAAAACAGGAAATTTCTGGAGCAATCACAAAATAAGAAAGATCGGCGAGCAGAGGGGACTATCACGAAGAAAAACAATCTGAAGAAAATAAAAATCCTTGGAGCAAGAAAATAAAGAGATAAATTTTCAGTAATAAAAATTGGAAGAAATATCAGCAGTGTCCTTAAAGGACGCGTGTCAAGATTCGCATAATCTCGCCGTCTGAAAAACCTTTAGCTTTCCCGCTTTAGAAAAACCCTAATGGGCCGCATATTTAAATCATTATAATTCGAGGGAAGCACCACGTGTCAGATCCACTTAAGAACGGGCCGAGCTGGCCATCGCGGAGAAACGCCCTTGACAAGCTGACGCTTATTGCGAGATCAAACTCATTTACTTTATGAAGTCCGCCGACCTGATTTATAATCAGTCTCGCCGAACTGGGGGGGGGGGGGGGGGGGGGGGGACTTATTGTTAGGGGAAATGAGCACATTTTCTAAAATGACTTTCTCTAGCAATAACCTAAGCCTATCAAGATTTAGGAGACCGCACCGACGTAGCTCAAGAAGGAATTTCTTTGAAGATATTCTTCAAGTCCAAGAACATCGGATCAGCTCGAAGGTATATTCAAAGATAAAGGAGAATTTCCATATTCTTCGGAGAATAAGAGATATTTCCATATCGCAAATATGGAAATATTTACCAAAAGAGAAAAGGAAAAGGAATTTGCAGCAACCGACCTCCTATTCCTATAAATAAGAAGACTCCGGAGCACCAGAAGGACAACTCATACAATCTAGAAAGCAGCAGAGCTAAACCTAAAAATGCCAAGCTTTCTAGTTTACCGCATAAACACTTTTTTCACTTCTGCATAACCTCACGGTTAAGTTATTTCTTGTAATTATTTCATCTCTGAGCTATTAATAAAAGATCTTATTCTCCAAAATCCACAATCGTAAATCATAAACTCTAGTGATGATTTTCTGGTTCAACAGTTGGTAAACATATTTTTTCTATATCAATTGTTGAAGGAAAATTTTATATTTAAAAATATTGCCAAAATTATAGAAAATTTAAATATATTGTATTAGAATTGGTATAGAAATGATTTAGGCTGAATCTTAAATCGCTTGGAGAAGGATTTTGGGGTTGTGGTCCTTGTGGAGGTGTAGTCTAACAAAACAATTGTTACATTAATATGTTGAAATTATTTAGTCCTTTTTATTGACAAACTTGAACTTATAAATATATAAATACATTGAAAAAGAACTACGACTAGTTCTTGATAACCGACCCATGAGGTAGATTAATTGAAAATATCAAAAGAATGTTACGAATATGTATGTAACATCATAACAACTTTTATAATATCACATGGATTTTTATTTTTCTATATGTGATTCTATAAAAACGGAAATGATACACATCAATGACATTCTTTTTACATAAACTACTTCATAGTTCGATTTTCAAGATGTAAATCTGATTCAATTTTAAAATGCATTTCTACGAGTGTTACTGTGATATTTACTTAAATAGATCAAAGTATTCAGTAAAATGTATTTCTTTAATATTAGTCCATCATACCTAATGCCATTTTGGTGAATGTTATTACTTATCTTTGTTTATAACACTTGTTATTTTGATTAGAATAAATTTATTATCATATTTTTTTGGATCAAGTGAGTTTATTATCATTAAGAGGTACTAGGTATATATCCACGATACACAGTGGGTTATTTTTATATAATTTCATACTTTGATAAAAAAGAATATATTTAAATAAATATTATATACATATTTTAAAAAATATTCAAATTCATATATAAAATTCTGTTATAATTACGTTTTGTGTTATAGTCACCGTTTATCTAATTCTTACGAAAGCTAGATGTAAGACAACACATATAATGAAACGTACTTTGTATAATTTTTCAACTTTAGTAATTCATGTAAAACTTATTTAAATATTCCTGATTCAAAATTAGTTACACACTTATTACTTATAGTTAGAAAAATTTATGTTTTCTCAACTAAATAAACTTATTAATCCATTAATAAAGTTGCTTTTCCAAGTTATGAGTATTGGCGACTATAAAGCGCAGGATTGCACCTAACTGAATCTCCTCCCACCAAGAGTATAATTCACGGTATTGACCTTACTGTCTTAAACTAGTATCCCTCTAAATTGGTACAAAAATTCACTCAAATGACACCCTACTTAATTTCATTATAGTTTCGTATTTTTCAACCTAAACAATAATTGTTCACCCAAAAATGATTTCTTAAAATTCTTTTTATATAATATGATAAATTTACTTTTTAGGATGTAAATAATAAAAATTATATATTTTTTGTTTACCATAAATTTTGTATTTATATGCTTTTACTCTATATAAATATCATATATTTTTAGTTTTTTTCTTTTTCATAATTGTAATTTGCTATCAAATACTAAAAGTTCATAAATAGATTTGTAAAACTATAAAGTGATTTAATAGTATTTATTAATATCACAAATATATGAAACGATATAGTAGTAAGTTTTCAAAATATATTTGTTTTTGTTGTGTTCTTTATCGTCCTGATCCTCATTATTTATATCATATTTACTATTATAAAGCTGGTTTCCAAGTGTTAGTTATGAATATTGGAAACAGTGAAGCGCAAGACTTCACCTAGGCATATCTCGTTCCACCAAAACCATAATTTACAAGTGTTAACCTCGCTAACCGTCCTAACCTTGCATCTTTTGAAGCTGATGCAAAGATTCATTCAAATGACATCCTATTTCTATCATAGTTTTGTATTTTTTAACCTTATAAAATGATTGCTCTTCCATCTAATTGTTTTCCTCATTTACATGTTCAAAGATTCTTATCAATTGATCAAATGTATAAACACGAGCTTGGGATCGACCAGGATTATGAAATCATTTCCAATAACAGATTTCTAATAGCACATACAAAATTACAAAACTCACGAATGTAATTTAATTTTTTTATGACTTAATTTTTTTTATGCGTCGATCAATTTTAAAAGAACCATAAGAGAAATATTTATAGCTAAGCCTCCAAATTTCGGTTTGTAATTGTACCTAAAACAAAAATGTGTATTTAAAACATCAAAACAATCAATTTGGTTTTAATGGTTGTGGAATCAAGTGATCTAACCACAAAAAGCACCAAATAAATTTGTAAGAAAGCAGAAAAAGAGATTATCCATAGAGACAAATGAAGACATAAAACTTAGACATATTCTGTGGTGAAGCATAGAAATGATTATCTTCTAAGTAACATTTGTTTATGATTTTTTTTGTTGTAAAATTAAATATTCATCTGTTCTTTCAAAAAAATCTTAAAAATAAAACAAATTCCTTTTATATTGCTCTTTTTTGTTTGAACCCTATATATGTAGTAGGGACAATTACAATTGTGTTTCATTAATCTTTTTCCACAAAACCCAAATGAATTATAAACTATTCACTGTATTCACATAATTGAGAAATACGATAGCCAAACAACATTTCTTACGGCAATTGACTCTTACAAAAATCTATACATATACTATTTAAAAAATATACATAAACGTAATTTCGAATTAATTATGGCTTACGGCAATTGATTTTTTTCCAACACATAGCAAAAATTATGTATCACGTTCATTGTATCACAATCAAATTTTGAAAGCACATTGCAATTCTTAAACACAAAAGCTGAATTGGATACTTTAATTTGTCATGTTTGATTAATTTCCATGACCCGACGAGTATTTGGATCCATGATCCTCCCCTCCACATCACTCTCAACGTTTCTGTAGTGCCATAATTCCCTGCTCTCCTCCATCGTATCCGTTAAATCACTTGCACCATTTGGGGTTTTAACCTCCTTATTCATAGACGCTCCACCACACCTCATCATTCTCAGAGATCTCAAATCTTATTTTGCCTTTTGATCAGACCTACAATGTTGATTATAGCTGCCAAAATATTAGTGTATATAGTTCATAGTTCATAGTTCATTTGTACACTAATACAAAATTGTGTCTATATACTTCTCGATCGCCTTCATCATATCGCGTAGCCCAAATCTTCGGAGGATCACCAATATGGAAACCAACACCACCGTGGTAATAGGCTCATAACACAGATCATCAGTGTTGTATTTGGAATTTCAATTTGTCTGCTAAAAGCTTTGCCGTGGCTAAACCTAAACCAAATGAAGCTCCAGTTATCACTGCAGTTCCTTGTTTCCGAGTTTCTATTGCTCCGGTGAGGCCTGTTTAATTGTGAATTGCTGTAACTATTCGTGCACAATTAATTGTGGAAAACCTTGATTTTTTTCTTTGTTAAGGTCCGTATCAAACCTGATAAACAGAGGCAGTAACTCATCGTAGGAATAAGGCAGACACATGAAGTGTGTTCTGTGGCACTCACTACACACGAAAAAGCAGCCTGAGAATTGTTAAGGAAGTCGAGAATGTATCAGATACTTACCCGTTGTAGACATCACCAAACGATCCTCTCCCAATTAACTCAAACTGACTAAATCTGGTTCCAGCTGCTTCTTGCAAACCAGCAACATCTTCCATTTTTCACAACAATTACAAAAAAAAAAAAAACACCTTCAATATATTATCTTCAATGTCATTATTTGGAGGCTCAAAACTTTAACATATCGATCCATCATACCTTTAAATTTCACACGTTTTCACCACCTTGCTTCTCTTTCTTCACCACCAATTGCAACTGCTTGATCCCCTCGTCGACCCCGAAATGTTGACCTAGAGAGCTCTTGCTGTTAACATTAGCTTCTTCATTCGATTCGCATCTCATCAGATTGTTCAAACTCTTATGATCAATCTCTTGGTCTTCGTCACTCTGGTGATCAATCAAAGGAGGATAATCAAAATCGCCGATTTTGGGTTGGAGCATCGAAAATATCGGAGGATCTCACTAATCTCATCGAAACATCAAAGTTGATTTGGGCTTTTGAAAACAATAAAATAGGTTATGTTAAATGGATAGTGATTATCTATTTGTTTTTATTTTTATACATTATTTTAAAAGATAATGTTTATCCATAAGTTTTAGATAATGTTTATCCATATGTTTTGGATAATGTTTATTTATATGTTTTGTTTTTATAGATTAGTCTACTTCACTATAAAGTAAAGTTTTTTTTATAAATAGATAATTTTATTCTTTGTAAAATTATAAGTTTAGAAGAAGAAAGAAATGAAGTTTTTATGTTCATCTTTTTCTCTTTCTCTCTGAAGTTCAAAAGATCTTAAACTTTTTTTTGTTTTTCTTTATAAAGTATTAGTTTACAATACGTTATCAGCACGAACGTCTCTTGATCTATATCCGGGAGTTAGAGCTATACCAGAGAGGTAAGATTTATTTATGTTCAATTTATTTTAAATATTATTATTTACGGAAAGATAGGCTCTGCTTTCTCCGTTTATATGTGATGCCGGGATGGTAGACGCTGCCTCCTCCAAGCTGATCGTTATGGTAGGCGCTGCCTCCACAATCAAATAATTATATTGTTTATTATGCCGGGATGGTAGGCTCTGCTTCCTCCGAGCGGATCGTTATGGTAGGCTATGCCTTCACGATCTAAATGATCACATGGCAGACTATGTCGCCTCAGATCATATTTATTTATTTATTTATTATGTGGGAGATTAAAATCCCTATCTTTGTTCATTTATTTATTATGCAATCAGCAATTGTATGGTAGGCTCTGCCTCCTCATATTGCTTTTAATTATTGTCTTTTATTATGCCGTTATTATGCTCAAATTTTTAATCTAACAAATTAAGCTTTTGTTATTGAGTAATCATTTGTCAAAGCTCGAGATCGCCACCCTTGACTTGTGTGGAAAGAATTATATGTCTTGGGCGGTAGGTGCAAAGGTGCATCTAGAGAGAAATGATCTTTTGAGCACTATCGATATGTCGGAAACGATATTCGATGAAATAAGGCAAATATCATGATCTTTTTACGCCACCATATCCATGATGGTTTAAATGATCCATCACGAGTAAAGATCCTGAAGATCTTGGAAAATAAGTGGTTGAATCTCCAGGCGAGAGAATTCACCCAAAGCTCGGAGTTGATATAAATCCTCTTGGTAGCTTAATAATATAATAAACTCGTGATGAGAAACCATCAGTTTTGTCCAACTAAATTAACTCCATTCCTAGGGGAGAATGTTGAGTAGTGCACTTACAGTAAGTGTGATGGACAAATTCAATGAAAAAAAAGGGATGATGGTTGGGACGTTGAAAGACAAAAGCTTGATGGTTTTGATGTATTATATGCTTTTGCTTTAGATGCTTTTGCTGTAGGTTCTATTGTACCATAAGCGGTATTGCCAGGTATGTGTTTAATACTTATTAATGCATCTTTTATGAATATTTTAAATTCATAAAATATCAGAATTTGAGATTATGGAGGGAGATACTTGTCTAGCAGACAGTGCTACGACACATACAATCCTTAGGGATAAAAAGTATTTCTTCTGTCTCAAAATGAAAGTCTCCGCTGGAAGCGTGAGTACTATAACTGGTATTGCAAAGATTATACTAGGCTCCGGAAGAGCAAGTTTTTCATTGCCAAGGGGTACAGAGTTTGTAGTGCAAGATGCATTATACTCTCTCAACGGAACTTATTAAGTTTTCGAGATATCCGCAGAAATGGATATCATATTGAGACTATTAATAAGAATGGCACTGAATATCTTTGCATTACAACGGAGAGTAAACATCAGTTGGAAGTGTTACCAATGATGTCCTCCGGAATATATTGCACAAAGATAACCATGGCTGAATCACATGTTGCGGTAAACCAGAAGTTTACCAGCACTTTCAGAGTATGGCATGAAAGGTTAGGTCATCCTGGTTCAGTCATGATGAGAAGGATTGTGCAAAATTCGAGTGGCCACCCATTGAAAAACCAGAAGATTTTTCAATCGGGGGAGTTTTCATGTAAGGCATGTTCTCAAGGAAAACTCATATGTAGGCCCTCACCAGCCAAAGTTGAGAATGAATCCCCTGTATTCTTAGAGAGAATACATGGTGATATATGTGGGCCGATTAACCCACCGTGCGGGCCATTTAGATATTTCATGGTATTGATTGACGCATCTAGTAGATGGTCACATGTGTGTCTTTTGACCACAAGAAATATGGCTTTCGCAAGATTCATTGCCCATATAATCAGGTTGAGAGCGCATTTCCCTGATTATGCCATAAAGAAAGTCAAGCTTGATAACGCTGGTGAATTCACTTCAGCGGCCTTTAATGACTATTGTATGTCTTTGGGAATCGATGTTGAGCATCCGGTTCCGCATGTTCATACACAAAATGGCATGGCTGAGTCATTGATTAAGCGGTTGCAATTAATTGCAAGACCGTTAATCTTGAGAACAAAGCTTCCAATCACTGTATGGGGACATGCTATATTGCATGTTGGGGCATTGGTCCAGGTAAGACCAAGTGCGTATAATGAATATTCCCCCATACAGTTAGCATTTGGCCAGAAGCCAGATGTATTCCATCTTCGTGTATTTGGGTGTGCGGTCTATGTCCCTATAGCGCCACCTCAAAGAACAAAAATGGGACCACAAAGAATATTGGGAATATATATCGGGTATTCGTCACCAAGTACAAATTAGGTATCTTGAGCCGGTAACTGGTGATATGTTCACGGCACGATTTGCCGATTGCCACTTTGATGAAAGTGAATTCCCTGCGTTAGGGGGAGGATTGAGAGAATCACCAAATGATATCACATGGTGTACAAAAACTTTGGCTTATCTTGATCCTCCTACAAACCAACGCGAGGTGGAAGTTCAAAAAATTATACATATACAAAGATTGGCAAACCAGTTACCTGATGCATTCACTGATACAAGAAGGGTGACAAAGTCCTATATCCCCGCTGCTAATGCTCCATCAAAGATAAATGTTCCTGAAGAACATATTGATGTAAATAGAGCAAATGAACCGGTTCAGTTAAAGCGCGGGAGGCCAGTAGGATCAAAAGATAAAAATCCCCGAAAAAGAAAGAAATTGGAAGCAAAGGTTCTGGAAGAACCAAATAAAGCCAAATGTCCTGAAGACATTTGTGAAAAGGTTCCTGAAGAACCAAATGAAGATATATGTCCGGAAGACATATCTGAACCAGTTCCTGAAGAACTAGGTAAAGAGGTTTGTCCTGAAGACGAATCTGAAGCAGAAAAATATGAGATTTCCATCTCCTTCGCCCAAAGTGGAAAATTATGGGCTAGAAGTGAAATAGAAGATAATGATGGAATATTCTCTTTTTCTGTTTCCAAAGAGATCGATCATGAAAATGATGATCAAGATCCAAGTTCCGTGTCAGAGTGCCAAAGAAGGCTTGACTGGGATAAATGGCAAGTTGCCATGGGGATGAGATATTCTCCCTTAATAAACAGAACATATTCGGACCGATAATTATTACACCTGAAGATGTAATACCGCTCGGATACAAATGGGTCTTTGTAAGAAAGAGAAATGAGAAAAATGAGGTCACAAGGTATAAAGCTCGCCTTGTGGCACAAGGGTTTTCTCAAAGACCGGGAATAGATTATGAAGAGACATATTCCTCGGTCATGGATGCAATCACATTCAGGTACTTAATGAGCCATAGCGGCCTCTAATAATTTAGAGATGTACTTGATGGATGTTGTGACTGCATACTTATATGGTTCACTTGAGAGTGACATATACATGAAAATCCCTGAAGGATTTAAGATCTCTCAAGGATCAAAGATGCCTAAAGCATCTAAAGAGCTATGTTCGGTCAAACTACAGCGATCACTTTACGGATTAAAGCAATCCGGACGCATGTGGTATAATCGCTTAAGTGAGTATTTGTTGAGTAAAGGTTACGTCAACAATGCGATATGCCCTTGTGTGTTTATTAAGAAATCCGCATCAGGATTTGTGATCATTGCTGTATATGTTGATGACCTGAACATGATTGGAACTCAAAAAGAGATTGATGATGCTAGATCTCATATGAAAGATGAGTTCGAAATGAAAGATCTTGGAAAGACAAAATTTTGTCTAGGGCTCCAAATAGAGCATTTCCAAGATGGAATATTTGTGCATCAATCAAATTACACCAGAAGGGTGTTGAAACGCTTTAGTATGGATAAAGCGACTTCTTTGAATACTCCAATGGTCAATAGACCACTTGACGTTGACAAGGATCCATTTCGACCTTGTGAAGGTAACGAAGAAATATTAGGTCCTGAAGTGCCTTATATGAGCGTTATCGGTGCCCTTATGTATCTTGCAAATTGTACTAGACCAGATATAGCATTTGCTACTAACTTACTTGCAAGGTATAGTTCATCACCGATGCGCCGGCATTGGAATGGAATAAAGCATATATTCCATTATCTTCAAGGTTCGATTGAATTTGGATTATATTATTCTAGAAACCCCGAGGTTGGTCTAGTTGGTTTTGCAGATGCAGGATATCTGTCTGATTCGCATAAAGCTCGGTCGCAAACTGGATATGTTTTCACGTTTGGTGGAACTGCGATCTCTTGGCGATCTCAAAAGCAAACTTTGGTCGCGACTTCTTCAAACTATGCGGAGATTATTGCGCTTCATGAAGCATGCAGAGAATGTGTATGGCTTCGGTCGATAGCTCATCACATACAAGAAGCAAGCGGAATAATCACAGACAAAGAACCAACAAAAGTGTTTGAAGACAATGCTGCTTGTGTCGCTCAAATTAAGGAAGGTTATATCAAGAGCGATAGAACGAAGCATATCCCTCCAAGATTTTTCTCATATACTCAAGAGCTCGAGAAGAAAAAGGAAGTGGATATTATG